TGTAGCAATCCGACTTGATGTGTCCTTTCACTTTGCAGTAATTGCAAACAAGATCCTTTGAACTCTTCGCAAGAAGAGAAGTAGTTTTCTTCGTTAAGTCAGTAGAATCCTTAGTTTTTTCCTTCCTTATTGGAGGAGGCGAGTTCCTTTTGGATGGAGCACCGCAAGAACTAACAAGATGATCCATATCTTCCAGAAATTCTTCTATTGATTCAGATTTCCGCATTGCAGCAATTCCTCTGAGAGACATATTACCAATACCGTTTATTAATAATTGAATACGGTCACGAACTGGCAACTGAAGATGATGCATCATTTTAACTTTTGATTAGCGTATTCTTGAAAGCTTCCTTAGGGTAGATACCATTTACGAGCGTCCACTTTCTGCAATACGCAACGTGGTAAAGGAACCCTTCTTTTGAATCTTCTTACGATGGCTTCTTTAAACGTATTCCATGTTATTCCAGCAAGGTTAGTTTCCAAATCGAACCAATCTCTAGCGTACTTCTGCAACTTGCTAGTACATGCTAACAAAGTGATATTATCCGAAATTCCATGCACACTGGCTGCTAATTCAACCCTACGTACCCAAAGTTCGACATCTTCGTCTTCCGTTCCACTATAGACGGGAATCTGGCTCGCCAACAACGATACCGCTTGAGCAGGAGGTACGTTTGACAGCGATTGATTAGTTGAACTATTCGTTGTACTAAACGGACTTAATGGTATCACAGCAGGTTCAGGATTAATAAAAGAGGTAGATTGACTTCTATTAACATTACCTTGATTGTTATCCATCAATTGAGCAATCATAGCCCCTTGAGCTTTTATTTCCTCATGATATGTCTTCATTTGCTCTTGCTGACATCTTATTTGTTCCAATAAACTAGAAAATGCTGATTGCCAAGCATTATCTGCGGATTGAGCGGAAGTATTGCGGATTGAGCGGAAGTACTATTTGTTCCACTTTCACTAGATGCGGCTGCATCCCTTAAATCAATCGATTCTCGATTCTCACCACGTGTTTCCTTTGCGGCAAGATCCACTAAGGCGTCGATGCATTTATGATGAGCCTTAAGAGGGGTAAGACCGTATCTCTCCATTAATTTCATGAGGTCCACTAACGAGAGCTTCTCTAATCTCGCACGATCCAACTCCTTTTTGTGATCCATTTCTAATGTGTATCACCTTCACTAATTAGTCGAACGGTCTAAATGTTTAACTCAATAACCGTAACATCGTGTCCAGTTGCACAAGACAAGAGCCAATCAGCACGTGTCGTTCTGGTGACAAACCAATAGAGCGTAGCGTCTAACAAAATGGTTGCCACGATGCAAGCCAATCATCGACGGCGACTCTTATGAGGCCCGAAAATGGCGGTACTAACGCGAACCGACGCGATGACCACGCGGACGCGATAAAGATGGCGGTGGATAAAGGACATTAATTGATCCTTGCTGCACTGTGCACTAATGTGCTCAACACCCTTACAGTTAATGTGCACTAATGTATCAAATACAACCGTAAACGGTCCAAATCGATCACAGTTGATCACAAATCCGGTCAAACCGATGGTTCGAATCCCACTTCTGATGCTGTAAACTTTAATTACTAAGAAACGATAGTCACTGCACGTAGCAAAACTAATATGTGTCAGGATGGGATCAACGTAGCGGTAGGCGGAATAAAATAAATGTCCAGAGGCCCTTGTGTGTTGTTGACGCACTTTATTGCGCACCATGTGCCTCGTCTGGAGTTCCGGTCTAGAACTGCCTGACTAACTTTCTCGCATACAGCTCTGTCGATTCTTTACTTTCGAGATTAGGGGTCGATATATATATATCGACCTAACTAAGTATCGAGATGTAGGTCGCCATTTATAAAATACGTTCTGGACAACCTTAATCTAGTTTCTTATTCGTGATTGGCTTACAACATATTTAAAAATTATTTTTAAAATAATATTTACTGTTTATATGCATTATTTACAAAAAAAATATAAAGAAATTTATTTTTTATATTTAATTGTGAAAACCTCAAAAATTGTCAAGAAATTGTAACTGAAATTCATAAATGTAAGTACTATTCTAGGGTAATATAAAAAGCATCATACACAAATTTATTATGATACAAACTTAAATAATGAAATTGTAATATATGTTTCAACATTGCAAGTGTGAATATTTATATGATAAAATTTACAAAGTGTTAACAATTTTCAAATATTTGCTAATAAAATATTCTTAAAATGTTTCTGTTGAAATCTTAAAATAATTCTTTAAAGCTAATATGATGGGGTACATATTAGGGATCATTAAATATGCGGCAACATTGTAATTATAAAATTTTATAAGTATCTATAATAAAAATTAAGTATAATAAATATAATAAGTATACAAGTATAATAATAAAATTTTTATAAGTATCTATAATAATAAAAATACATATATGTTGTATTAATCTGTTAATTGCGTTAAATTAATTAATAATTTTTTTATATTTATTGGCGACTCTTCTTTGATTATCTTCAGCTTTCCTCTTATTATCTACGTGCTTGCGATTTTTTTTTGGCAGTATTATAAAATTTAATGCGTACATAAGTTTCTTGGAGAATAAATGCAAGCGAGTGACAAAGTTAGAAACAGTTAGAAAAGGAAGAACTTTGAAAGAGAGAGACAGCTACTGTTTGTCGATGAGATCATTATGCTCTTCTCTTCCTTCATCGCCCTTCGCCATCAAGCTGTTTCTAGCTCCACCCTTACTTCATCGTCCCTCGCCCACAACCGGTTTTCCTGAGGTAACCTTCTCTCTATAGATCTTGGATTTTACCCACGGTGTAAGAATATAAGGTGATTTCACGGCAAGATCTATAGAGAGAAGGTTACCTCAGGAAAACCAGTTGTGGGCGAGGGACGATGAAGTAAGGGGGGAGCTAGAAACAGCTTGAAGGCGAGGGGCGATGAAGGAAAGAGAGAGCATGATGATCTCATCGACAAACAGTAGCTGTCTCTCTCTTTCAAAAGTCTTTTTTTTCTAACTGTTTCTAATAGCGTTTTTGATTATACAGGATTTGAACGACCCAGGGTTGGTTAATGACGTCATTGCAACCTCTCCACCAATGAAAGACTTGCATTTATAGTAAAATAGTGATTGATCAACCCTGGGTCGTTCAAATCCTGTATAATCGAAAACGCTATAACTCTGTCACTCGCTTGCATTTATTCTCCAAAGAACTTATGTACGTATTAAATTTTATAATACTGCCAAAAAAAATCGCAAGCACGTAAGTAATAAGAGGAAAGCTGAAGATAATCAAAGAAGAGTCGCCAATAAATATAAAAAAATTATTAATTAATTTAACGCAATTAACAGATTAATACAACATATATGTATTTTTATTATTATAGATACTTATAAAAATTATATTATTATACTTGTATACTTATTATATTTATTATACTTAATTTTTATTATAGATACTTATAAAATTTTATAATCACAATGTTGCCGCATATTTAATGATCCCTAATATATACCCCATCATATTTGTTTTAAAGAA